AGTTTGTTGAAAAAATATTGTCTTATTCTATAAAACATTTCAAACCTAGTTAGATATTTGTAATCAAAAAACATTTGCGCAGAAAGCAGCACTTAGGGCTGCCTGTCCTATACCCTACCGCTGGACAGGGAAAGAACTGAAAATGTCACCCTTCTGACACGCTAAGGCAGCTGGACTGGCAGCCAAGTAAGGGAGAGTGGTGAGGTGGCGCAGAGAGGTGGGGAAGCGTGCGAGGGCACTCTCCGTGGCAGGCAGGAGTGGGGACAGAGGGAGAGCTTGTGACTGGGGCAGTGAAAATAAATGATGGGCTCTTATCAATCACTCGCACCAACTAACCGTTTGTATTTTCTTTACCGACCTTTCCCTCTTGGGATATCTGGTCTGGTGGGCTGGGAGGCCAGAGCGTCCCTGTCTCCACTGACCTGTGCCTTCGTGCTGTTTGCTTGGGGCGTGGAGACTACCGATTGGATGGTTCTGTTATCTAGGATTCCCAGGCCAAGGAGATGGGGGGGACCATGCTTGTTTGCAGAGCAGAATAGCTTGTACCCCCTGTGCACCTATTAATGAATTTTCTTAAAATATTTTGGGGAGAATGGGGTTGCAGCCCTCAGCTGAAGATTGTGACCGCCAGTCTCTCCTCTCTGTCTTCCAAGGTTGAGACGGGCGTGATGTCTCTGAAATCATCTCTGTTAGGGTATCTGTCCTCGTAGTGCGAGAGAAGGAACGTTTCTCAGGGTTTCAGCTCACACAGAAACGAAGCAGGATTCTTCACTGCAGCAGGATATGTATATAGGTGAATCCTGTGGTATGGGCTACCAGGCCCAGGTGCTGAGAATAGCAACTATTTTATACAGTATGGAGGGCGCAAGCCCTGCTGGTTTTTTTGATACACAGGTAGAGAGTAAAAAGGGGGGTGGGGGTGGGAGGCAGCTCAGTGGGGCTGAAAAAAAAATGTGAGTGTGTGTAACGTGTGCCTGAGGGAGCACCCCTTCCCAACTTCTTGAAACAAGATTCCTCCTGGGGTGCTTTCCCTGCGTGTCCCCAGAGAGGCCTCTAGCCAAGGGACTTTAGTTGGGATGGTTTTCGTTTGTAACTTTACCAACACCCTTCTAGTTGTTAACAAACAGCTTCAGGTGGCTGGGTGGCTGGGTTCAAGAATATGGGTGGGATGTGGGAATGCTCTTTCAATATTTACCTTCAGTTTTAACTCATCTTCCCACTCAGCGAAACACCACCTGCAGCAGCACTTCCTGGCGAGGGAGAACCCTGGGTTGTGCTACTTGAAAATGCTTTACTTCCATTTCCTCACCTGGGCAAAGTTCTCTGTTTGAAATCGTGTGCTGAGATGTGGTCTTCTCTCCCTCTCCCACTGTTAATGCCACGCAGCCCTTCTTGGTGTGCAGCCCCTCCTCCTGGCCCTGCAGGTGCCCCTGTCTGTGACACGCCCTTCTGCCCCAGAAGAACCTCTGACCCTGAGGCCAGAGTCGGGTGGGGCTCGTAGAGAATAAGTTTGCTTGCTCATAATGATGTCTTCTCTCTGGGCGCCTTATTTCTTGTGGTGCCGTTAAATGGGTTGTGTGTGGCAGTGGGTGAAGCGATTGCATGAACTTTTCTGTAACCCACTACTTTTTATTATTATTAAGGGAGTTTTTGAGAAAGCTTTGCTCGTAGTGTCCGGGCAAAGTGATAAAAACTGGAGCCCCCAAAATTTCCCTTAGGGCAAGATTATGTGGTAGAAAATTGAATTTGAGGCAGATGTTTAGTCCTCCAGGGAGTGGTAGAGACTTTATAGTCTATGACGTGGTTTGGGGATGCTAGGCCCTCGGGGCCGGGGGACAAACCTAATGCCACTTTGGGTTGGGGGGAGGTTAGGGGTGGTACTTGCCGTTAATTTTTGACACTAGAAAGTTCTTTTATTTTTTAAAGCTGTTTTTCTAGGTGGGTGGAGAACGAAACTGCCACGTCCTTGTCGGTTTAGTCCAAGATCATAAACCAAGATCACTCACAACAACAGTAGATATCTGGGTTTTGTTTCTGTCTGTCTTTTTTATTATGAAAAAAAACAATGTTAAGGGGGCAAACGCGGATTAACAGGAGGGATCCCTAGCCTTGTTTTCCTTAGAAGACTCGTTTAGTGTTTTATCAGACGTCTGTTGTAGTTGTAGATGGAAAAGCTTGTGAGAAAAACAAACACCACGTGGAGCCTGTGAATGTTTTTTGCACAACCTGTAAAGCATTCTTGGAAGTGGCCAGTAAAAAAGGGTTTTACCATTTAAAAAAAAAATGTAACTGTGTCATTGTTTACATCTGTAACTTTTTCTTCCCCTGTTCTCATTACAACATTCTGGCAAAAATGTAGGCACAGTAGCTTCCAGTTTTAGAATAAATAACCATTTGGATTGAATTTACCCTATCTCCTGTGGCTGCACTGACTGGGTTGTAGTGTGTCATCTGGGGGTTTATTTATTTACTTTTGATGCTGCTTCCTCAAGTTGCACTGGGTCCAACCAAGGGGGCTTTGCTCTTGCACGGCTGTTATTCCCTCCTTTCCTACCATGACTTCACTTGGGAGTGAGCCATACCTTCGCTCGGGGGGTCGTTGGCCTACTTGGTTAAGATTGCTTATGCTAAAAGCTTGAGCCATTGGAATAGAAGAAAAAGTCATGACCTTTTTGACAAAAACCAGTTGGATGCTTAAAGTGAAATGTAACATTCCACTTAGGAGCCAAATAAGTTTGTTCGTGAGTAATTGGCACTTAGGAGGAGAAAGCCTGCTCATTCAATAGAGGATATTTGATGGGGGCTATTTCCTAGTGAATTTTGAGAATGAGGAGGTAACTTTTAACAAAAGCACTGTTGCATTGCTGGCACTGAACTGATCCTAATTGTAATTTCTAATAAATGGTCAGGGAATTACTGAGGCTGGGGTGCCACAGACTATTGGCAGTCCAGTGTTTTGAAGCAATAGCGATATAGATCTAGAAACTGCTCCAGCTTCTCTCTCTACATGACACAGATTCATACCCCAGTGGCTTACAGCTTTGTACCCTAAAGGCTATCCTTGATTTCAGTGTCTGCCCATTCTCTGGAATATTTAAAGGTACTCAGTATTAGAGCTAATTAATCATTTTTAATGGTTAGTTATAGCTTGTGCCTTGTCTCTAGTAATCTCTTAAGTCCCCTTTTTCTTCACACTAGGAAAGGGCTGCAGCCATTCACCCCTAATCTCATGAGTACAAAAATTGAGTGTGCAGGAAAATGAAGCAAAGGCTATTTTTTTAAATATCAAAATTACATTTATTGAGCACTTCCGGCTTTTTACAAAGTCTGAGCTGATGTGAAAATTTTTACTTCTCTGGAATTCCAACCACTTTGATGAAGTAAGAAGAGAAAGGTTCTAAGTGTCCACTGTGCCTTACTGGCCATTTAAGCAGGTAGAGCATGATCCATTCATTAGGCCAGCCATGTGCCAGACTGTCAGGATGCAGAGATCTTCAGGGAGCACCTAGGAGAAACTTAAGCAGGCTCCTGAACAGAAAGAGGGTAGGGCCCCACTTCAGGAGGGCAACCTGGTTACTTTTCCTGTTCTCTGTATTCCTCTCCCCTCACTGTCTTCCTGTATGAAGTGTGAGGAAGCTGGGGGTGATGTGCTATCCCTAAATACAGGTCACTCGCCTATTACTAGAGGCAGCCTCCCACCCTCCTCCCAAGTGTATCCCAGGCACAAAACATGAGCTGGCTTAGGCTACCCCCGGGAAGGACGTGTCCTTGAATTTAGGACATAATGACAGACCATGAGGGGCAGACATCATGGGACTGTTAACTTTCCTTGCCTCGGCCCTGGTCCCACCTCAGTATATTAACTCTTGGAAGGAAAAGGCTTCTAGAAAGGCATTCTGGGGCTTATACTAGTCAAGTTTGAGTCCCGAGGGCGCTCGTGAGACATGAACTCTCAGGTTTGGCCACTGGCCAGGCAGCATGTTGGACCACTACAAGGGGTGGTAGGCACATTGGGGGCGGGGACATTGCTTCTTGGCAGGTGTGACAGAGTGGGCCTGAGGGGGAAATGGGGGCTAAGCAAGCCCAGTTTCCCTAGGAAATAATTTTAGCCTTATCCACCTCCTAGGGAGACCCGGAGGTGACCAGGGAATGAGGCGGAATATTGAGGCGCACTCTTCTGTTTCGGCTCCAAAGGGAGCCTCTATCTGCCAAGCTATAGAAACCTAGATTGCCTCACGAGGTCCACGCGACCAGAGCCTGCTACGCAGTGCTTGCTGGAGTCCCCCTGTCCCGTGATCCTTGGCTATAGCCTCCCGTGTGCCTTCACCTGGATCGGGGGGACATCAGCTTCCAGACTTTGGGGTGGGTAAAAGTGAGTATCGAGTTGGCAAGGGCAGGAGCAGCCATTTTAATACCAGAAGAACACAAGAGGGGACCATATTGAGGATTCTGGATGCCTGGGGCCGCCATTTTAAGAATGGGGCTGGCGAAGAAGCCGTGTACGGTGAAACGTAGTGACGTAGGCCGCCATATTGGCTCGGTTCCCATGGCGGCGGCCATCTTGGGAAGGGACCCGCTGTGGGCGCGGCCATCTTAGATGTAAAACCGGCCTCCTCGTAGGAACTGGAACAAGACTCCTCCCTTCCGTTATTGGGTTCCTCCTGTCTGTGTCTGCAATTCCCTGAACGCTCCTTCAATCTGCCCCGTTCGGTCTGTTTTCAGTTTCACTTGCCTTCATTGTTCATTGCGTGTGTGCGCGCGCGCGCACGTTCCAGCCTCTGAGGGTCTGTTGTGACGTAATTCTTCCACTTGAGACGCTGTCTCGCGCCTTCCATCTCCCCGCCCCCAAACCCACCGATCTCCGATCCTAGACAGTATCTAACCTGCTTTGACTTGTCCTGTACCCTGAGTATGGGAAGACTTTCAACTGCCGCCGCCACCCCCACATCCATTGATTGATGATCCTCTCCCCCAAGAACGCTAACACAGGAGCTGTCCTCTGAGACTCTGGATGACTTTATTCTTCAAATGGCTTTACCCTTCCAATAGCTCCAGGTGAGACTGAGAGCAAGCACCCGGCCCATCCCTCTCACCATTGTCTGAGCGGGTCACAGAGGGAAGGGGGCAGGATGCTCTCAGAGTCTGATGGCCCTTCTGTGAGTGGAGCACCGAGTCGGTGCCTGGGGTTAGCCACAGTGGGCGAGGAAACGGAGTCGAAAGATAGGTGAGGGAGGGCCTTGTGCTTCAGATAACCTCACAGGGTTGGGCAAGGGCTAGGAGGGGGATGCAGGGACCTTCGGGGACTGACGACAGTTACTGAGCTAAGGAAGGGCCCAGGAGAGGGAAAGGTGAGTTGTGAGAAGGGACAGAATAGCTCAGAGGAGTGCACAGAAGAACTTCTTCTCCCGGAAAGGATTCTCCGAAGTGGGCACAGGGGTGATGAGGGGATCCTCACAGGCGTGGGCATCACAGTAAGTCATCAGGTCTGCTGCTGCCTTGGACACCTGGGGCACAGCCAGGAGGGGAATTGTTAGCCAGAACCCCTGAAAGGGACTGCAGCCTCTCTTCCCAAATGGGTTATCTTTTACCCTCTCTAAGGTGCCTTCAGGCAGTCTTCTCTGCCCTCATCTCCCACCCAGGCCTGGGGAGACCTCTCCTTACATAGCCCAAACTCCCCTGCTCTCAGGGAGTAGAGGGAAAAAAGCATCTCTTATCCTGAGGTTTGGGAACCTACAGCACAGCCCGGCCAACTCGTGAGACCCAGGGTTCCACCCACCTTTATCCGGCACAAGCTGGCCTCAATCTTAAGCTGCTCCACCATCTTGCGGGCTTGGCCAATACTCATAGTGCTGTTTACAGGGGTCTCCCCTTTCATCCTAGAGAAAAGAGAGGTTCAGCTCAGCAGGATAAGGGGCTCTGCACAATCTCAACAGTAGGTGCCCCTCTGTGCTCCTCACCAACATTTACAAGGTTGGGATCATGCACCCCAATATTTTGTTCCTTTCCTGTCCCCATCCTCCAGGGCTTTTCCCATCCCTGTCTTCCTGGGCTGAGGAAGTGGAGAGGGTGGGATGAGATGCTCCGTAAACTCCAACATGGACTGGGCCGCAGATCATTGTACAAATGATTTAAGGTGTTTCAGCCTGTCAAGCCGTGTGGGTTCCCAGCTTTGAAAGCTTCAACCAGAAAGAGCCCCGCCCTGATGGGAGGGCTCAAAACCCCCTCCTGCCCCTTTGAGCCCCAGAGAAAGCAAGATGCTCCCGACTCACCTGAGGCCGCAGGTAGTAGCAGCCCTGGGGAGTAGGGTCGGTGGGGTCCACCAAAACCTTTGCCTGAGATGGGTGCCCCACCTTGCAGGGAGTTGCAGCTGAAAGTATCGATGCAGCAGCAGAAGTAGCTAATACAGAGAAGGCCACTGGGGAGGGTCAGGTCAGTGGTCTGTCAAGGGGTAGGCCCAGTTTCTGCAGCTCAAGCACTGCCCAGACAGCTGGTACCTGAAGGATGAAGGATGCTAGAAGGAGCTGCTCAGATCCTGGAGCATACCAACTGCCTGGGCAGTGGGGGAGTCTGCCTGCTGCCTTGCAGCCCCTGTGCACACCCCCACTGTTACTGTCTCACTGCTTGCACTTCCCCCATTGCAGGCATCCTGAGTCTGGGCTAGAGCCCTCCCCAAAGGAGCTGGAGGGAGCTGAGGCCCAGGCAGAATCCCCCCTCAAATGGGGTGGTCTGGACCTGTGACAGCCCCTGCAGTGTAGTCTGTACTGGCTGCAGGGGACCCTGCGCATTTGAAAATCTGACATCAGCTGGGCAGGGCCCCCCCCCTCCGTCCCCCCATCCCTTCCTCCCTCTACTCTGACACAGCATTTAGCAACTGAATCTTCCTTTCTCTCCTAGAGACCTTCCATTCCCCATATCCAGAAAAATGTGATGAGCTACAGGTATCAGCTTCTAGATCACCACTTCGTGTTCTAGCTACAAGTGACTCAAGTGCAAGATCTAGGGGCAGCAAGGTATATCAGGAAGATGTCTAAAGAAATGGCAGACCAAAAAGAAGCTGGGGGAAGAGAAGCATGCAGAGACCAGATCAAAGAACTGGACAAAGAAGAGGTAGGGGCATTGGGAGAGGCAGTGGGTGTTTCTGGAAACAGATGGGCTTCCTGGGGGAGGGGGTATTGGTCTGAGAGACTACATCCCACACCTGCATCGTTGTGCTTTGTTTTGTGGGGGATCCAAAGATGCCCACAACACTGACCTTACTCTCTGAGGGCTCTTATTTGGGGTGAATAGACATAATAGAAGGTGCTGCCTAACCAGACCTAATCTAGATAACGCGTTGTGGGGACTTAGAGTCTGGTTAGGGTCAAGAAGGTCGATCACATCGTAAAAACTGGATTTTCTTAATTGCTACCACTGTTGTCAATGGGAACAGCCACAGCGCTGGCACAAGATGCACGAGTTCCTGGAGACTGCAGCGTTGTCTGGGCGAATGCTCTCTCCCTTGGACGCCTACGGGTCCAAAGACCTGTTGGCGGTAAAAGTCAGCGTCACCTGGATACCTGACTCTCGCCCTTTTCAGGGGTTAAATGGCCGGTGAAGGTGTGGGCGGAGGGTCGTGATTGCTGCCTTGAGGGCCGCGCCGAGGGGAGATGCTGCTGACTCATAGCATGCCCTGGGTATGTCTTGGGGCCTGGAGGAAAGCGCCTTTGGCCACAGTAGCGGGTGATGGACGGGACTGCAGGGAGGAACAGTATGGAACCTGTGGAGGTGGGAGCCCCGCAGTCCGGAGGGCCCCGCCCCCCGCGCCTAGCCCCGCCCCTGCCTGGGCCCGTCCCCTGAACGAGGCCCGCCCCCCGGGGCTACTTGAGAGACTGGCGGAAGAAGGAGGGGCTTACCTGGGACGCGGAAGTCCCTCTCACCGTTGCCTAGGCAGCGCGTGAGGCCGGTGAGTCTGCAGAGCCCCAGCCGCAGTCGAGCTGGTGGTGGTGTTCACAGTGGCGCGGTTAAGTGGGGGCTTCGGGCGCCGCGCCCACCGAGCCAGAGCGGGCTGGCAGGGAGCGGCTCGGCGTGGGGCGCGGCCCCGTCGCGGGGCGAGCGCAGCTCCAGAAGAAGAGAAACACGGGAGGCGATTGTGACTGCGCTTGGGCTGCTTGCTTCTAGTCTGGGTGCGCAAGCTTAGGCAAGTCGCGCATTTTCTCCGTGCAACCACCTCGCAGTGTGGATTCATTGACATCGTATGTATAACAGTGCCTTGTAAGAATTTTAAGATGCTCATCCTCTATATGTTATACATTGCTATGAGTGAGTATCACGGTAGCTGGTTCCAGAACCAAGTTGCCGGAGGACGAGTTCAGCTGAAGAGCTCTTGCACTGGGCGTGAACAGAGCACAGTGGAGGGCAGGGAAGGGATAATTGGCTGAGAAACAATCATTTGGAGGAAGGCCATATGAAACAAAGACTCTGCTATGTCCTGCTATCTCTGGTTCCTCAAAGCCAGTCCAGCAACCTTTCCCTTTCTGTCCCCCCCTCCCCTGGGAAAGGAACCATTCTTTCTCCATCTCTGTCTTTTTCTAGGAACCTCCAGCTGCTTCATCCCATGGCCAAGGGTGGCGTCCAGGTGGCAGAACAGCTAGGAACTCCAGGCCTGAATCCGGGGCCAGACCCTCTGCACTCCCCACCATGGTCAACGACCCACCAGTACCTGCCATGCTGTGGGCCCAGGAGGTGGGCCATGTCTTGGCAGGACGTGCCCGCAAGCTGCTGCTGCAGTTCGGGGTGTTCTTCTGTACAATCCTCCTCCTGCTCTGGGTGTCTGTCTTCCTCTATGGCTCCTTCTACTATTCCTACATGCCGACGGTCAGCCACCTCAGCCCCGTGCATTTCTACTACAGGTGAGAGTTGTCTTCTAGCATAGTGGAGGAATCTTGTGGGAGAATTGCTGCAAGGCCCCTTAGAGCTTATTCTGTTCAACCCCCTCATTTACAGAGGGGGAAACTTGGGCCCAGTGTGCTTATATGACTTCGTACCTTTCACATCCCAAGGCTGCAGCAGGTCTGGGCTGATAGGAGTCTAGGATCCTAGTTCTACTTCTAGTTAAAAAGAAGAAGAAATGCCCCATTCCAGATTGTCATTATGAGGGTCAGGTCTACTTAGGTTGGATGAGACCTCTCTCAGGGCCACAGTAGACTTTTGAGCCTAGCCAGCCCTGCGGGTCATCTCAGAACTGCCCTGGCCTTTACTAGAGGAGGTGTCAGGAAAGCAGCAATTTGCCTCTTACATCATTTCCTCCTGTTCGCAATAGTCTACTGCACAACAGAGATTAAGGAAACACAAGGTGACTGGGTATGTGAACTCCCAGAGTCCTGTTCCTTCCCATTGTACGCATTCTGCCAAATTAAAAAAAATTAATTTGGTTATAGGACCAATCAAGAGATGCTGATAAGGACATTATTATCAGTGTTCCAAAGTCTTTTTTAATTTTTTCCTGTCCTAAGTCCCTGGTCATGAGCTATAATTTGTAAGGCAGAGCTGCCTAAACTTTTGGGAGACATGGCTCTCATGAAAGCTGTGGCTCTTCTTGCCATAAAAACATATCTATGTGCCCATGCGTATGCCGTGGACACACACACATGCATACAATTTTGCCTGCAACTTTGGACGAGTTTGTTCTCAAACTAGAATCTGGGGCTAGGGCCCAGGAATCTACATTTTTATCGAGCTCCCCAAGTGAATCAGAATCTGGGGCTAGGGCCCAGGAATCTACATTTTTATCGAGCTCCCCAAGTGAGTCTTTAGAAACACTCAAGTCTGAAACTGTTCAACTAATGTATGTAGATTGCTGTTTAAGAATGTCTAATGAGAGGAAATAAGCTGAAATAGTAGGGAGAGAATGAAGGAATCACTTGAATCTCCTGGCTGCGTTTCTTCTCCCTCTCTGTAATGGAGAAGAGTACCTGCCCTGGGAGATGCGGGCGGGGGCCAGGAGGGAGCATTAGGGGCCCGACAAGGGGTGTGGACAGGTAAGGCAGACTCCATAACTTAGCAGAGTGTCATCCCCATTCTCATTTAGGACCGACTGTGATTCCTCCTCCTCCTTACTCTGCTCCTTCCCTGTTGCCAATGTGTCCCTAGCTAAGGGTGGACGTGATCGGGTGAGTATGGAAGCTGAAGAGAGGTTGCATTAGAGCTTTGATGAGGAAGGCTTGAGAAAGACCTGAAGAACAGGGATTGAGTAATAGAGACTAAGAAAGGAAGGCTCTCAAGGTAAGGGAGGTCAAAGAAAAACTCAAGTCTAAGCGAATGGTATGGATCGTTCTTGCTTGCAGGAGTTGTTAGTAATGTTCTCAGTTTGTTGCAGCCAGGCCATCTCTACTAGATCAGGTGTGTTGTAGACCTAAATGAGCTTAAACTAACAAACCAACTATTTAGTTGGACTAGGATGCAATCCAGCCAAGAATTTTGAAAGCTTGTATGCAAAATTAGGAAACTACTGACAAGTGCCTGTCGCCTGCCATTACAAAAGGTACTGTGCCAGAGGTCTGGCCAGATGCCAGTGTGACATCAACAAACCTGGTAACTCTGAAAAAGGCAGAATGGGAATGCATCCTTCTTTGCTGGGCAAGCTGGTGGGGCCTCTGAAAAGGGTAGGATTTCTCTCTGAACACTTCAGAAGGACCTTGGAGGAGCAACATCATTTCTGATCACCAGAGTGTTTTGAGTTGTCAGTCAGCAACATAATTAGGAGTAATCAGTGGTCAACTTTAAGAGTTTAAAAACCACTTGGAAATTATTTTTCAAAAATGGTACTTGGGAGGACACTGACTTAAAGATAGAAAACACAGGATAGAAATAAACGGTCACTCTGAAGGCAAGAGTGTAAGCTATAGAGTCTGGGCTCCCCTGGGATTGGGATGCAGACTGGCAATACAAATAACCTGGGAGACTGCATATCCTGTGACATCTTCCATTTTACCACTGTCAAGAGAACTTACCAGGTCAGATGAATGGGCCTCAAATGGAAGGTTTCAAAATACTGAGGTAGCATGTTGGGCATTGCAAGACAGAGATTTATCATTGTTGTGCTCCTACTCAGGAAAGGAACTTGGCAATGATAGAGCGATCTGTGACGACATCGATTCAGTGCGGTTCTGTGGCAATGATAACCATAATAAATGGAGTATATTGAGAGAGTGTTAGAAACAAAGCCTCAGCACATCTGCACCTGGGATGGTGTGTACAGTTGTGGGGCTGACCGTTGTAGAGATCGCAGTGACAATGCAGGGAGCCCCAGCAATCGTGTGCGAGGCTGCTGGGTGAGGAAGGCAGGGAAAGCTGAAGGATGAGAGGAGATCCAGCCTAAGGCCCTGATAATTCAAGCAGGTTGATCATTTTGTTCAGTTACAGTAAACATTTTAGAATGGACGAACGGACAGACGGACGGACAGACAGATGGGTGGATGAAATAACGTGTCTACTCTGTGTAGCACCTTGGTAGAAGCAGAAGATGCTGTCCTGCTTTCAAGGAACTCACAGGATTAATAGAATTATATACGTTGTAAGAATTGCAAAGTGTGAGATGCAGGTTCTGCATTTCTGAAGAATGTGTGAAGAATTTGAGGGATCAGTATGAGACTATAGAGTTGGTGAGGCTCAAAGTGGACTTTTTAAGGAAAGGTGAATATTCTATGGGAATGGGGAAGAAGAATGAGGATCTGCCCATCAGGCAGACACATGTGAACAAAGGCACGGAGTCATTCACAACAGCTTTATTGAGATATAATTCACATACCATACAATTCACTCATTTAAAATGTACAGTTCAGTCATTTTTAGTATATTCAGAGTTGGGCAGCCATCACCACAATCAGTGTTAGAAGATTTTCATCACCCCGGAAAGAAACCCATACCCATTAGCTAGCAGTCATCCCTGTATGCCTCCCACCCACCCAGAGAAATATGTTATTTAATGTTTCAGGGAATTCAGTGAAGCAACTAGCTTAGATTCATCTGTCTTCTACCGAGTGGTGGGAATCTCATGGAATCCTTTTTTTTTTTTTCATTTTCAATGACATCATTCAGAACATTTTGCAAATTAGATTTTACAATTTAATGTTTTACAATTAGAAATTTTATTTGCTACTACATAAGTTGCAAACTTTTCAAAATACTACAGAAAATCCTTTACTTCTTTGGATTTTTCTGTTTGGAATCTTTTGTTTTTCTACAGATAATTCAGACTGAAAATAAGAATCTGTATAAAGACGTTGATCGTTGGTGTTCCACCTTTTACCCTAGTGATAAAATACTCAGAGGACCGTCATAGTTGTATCCAGATTTGGGGGCTGATTCACTATGGGCTAGGCCAGCGGTCCCCAACCTTTTTGGCACCAGAGACCGGTGCTCCTTTGAGAATCTAATGCCAGATGATCTGAGGTGGAGCTGAGGTGGTGATGCCTGCGCTGGAGAGTGCCTGCAAATAAATATAGATGAAGCTTCGCTCACTTTCCCACAGCTCACCTCCTGCTGTGCGGCCTGGTTCCTAACAGGAACATAGTTGAATATAGGATTAGAGGAATGTGGGAATGGTCAGGAAAAGCTAGGGTATGTTTGGTGGCAAGTCTTTAACGTTTGAGGTTAGTCTCAGAGAAGAAGCCTTCTCACTACGAGTCTGAGTCTCAGGGTTCTATCCACAGAAGCGAGATAAGGGAGCCAGAATGCCGTAAAGGTGATCTGGAGTGACAGTGACTGTGCAGAGCTAGCTAGGGAGATGCCGAGCAATTCTGGGGCTTGGTTAATTAATGTAAATGAAGGCTAGGCCCAGGGGTGTGGCCTCCTGGGGACAGGCCTGAGTCACAGATGGCCCAGTTGGCAACATGATAGTTCATTTTTGGAAAAAAAATATGACACAGCCTTTCTCAGAACAGCTGAGAGAGACACACGGAATGAGACTGATTCAGGTCTCGGAAGTGGGAGGGCCCCAGCCACCAGGAGGGGGCAGCACGTTCTTGGGATGAGAGAGATTGAAAAGCCTGTTAGGGCCAACCAGGGGGATTGCTGGCAGACTATTTGAGGGCATAGGGGAGAGGTGGGGCAAGGACTGTACAATTTAAAAGTACATACTTTTGAGAAGAGATGGGGTTTCCTCGGGCAGGTGCTGATGTATGGACAGCCGTACCGTGTTACCTTAGAGCTGGAGCTGCCAGAGTCCCCTGTGAATCAAGGTTTAGGCATGTTCTTGGTCACCATTTCGTGCTACACCAGAGGTGGCCGAATCATCTCCACTTCTTCGCGCTCCGTAAGTGTTTGTGGCCTGTGTGGGAGGGAGTGGAGCATGACAGATGCTAGAATATCTGGGTGGGCCTTCAGGAGAAAACTTCTCTCAGGTCACAGACATATCAGGATAAGGAATAAGAGTCAGTTTAGCAAATCAGACAAATATCTGCTGGCCTTTTCCAGCTTTGGAGTAAGTCTGAAAAGTGCTCTGAAAACGGGCTTATTTGGGGCCAGATAGACCAGGGCTCGAATCCTCACTCAGAAACCTAGCTGAGGCATAACGTACTTAACCCTTTAGTTATAACATGTTATAAACGGTATAATGGTCATTCCTCATAGCAAGACTAGTTAGGATTCAGTGAGGACATGTCAACCACATGGTGGGTGTTCAGTCAGTGGTAGACTCCATTCTTAATTGTCAGCAGAACCACATCATGAAAGCAAATCCCTAAATGTCTACAGGGAGAGAAGCTTCAGATGATGCAGCAGGGTTTAATCTGCTCTGGATCATAGAGCTGTTTGGGGCAG